TGAGCAATTTAGTAAGACCCTATCTAAAAAACAAGGCTGAGGAGGTAGCTCAGTGCAAAGGCCCTGGGTCCAGCTCCCAATGCACAAGAAAAGGGGGTGGGTTGGAGAGAGAGAGAGAGACAGAAATTCTGCACATAGTGTGCTTTACACAGTGCTTGGCAGACACCCAGTAGTGTCGATATTGGGGACAGTTACGTTCCTGCGTCCTGATCAGGGATGGCTGAGATAATCTGTACCTGCTGGTTGTTTCCAGTCAATCATAGCAGTCTCTTCTGGTGAAACTGAACTTGGCTTTGGAAACCCTTAATTCATTCCTTTAAAGATCCCATCGGGGGCTGGGGATTTAGCTCAGCCGCACAGCGCCTGCCTGGCAAGCATGAGGTCGTGAGTTCGATTCCCGGTACCAGAAATAAAACAAAACGAAGATCTGATCAATCGATTTGAGGAGTTTTTATTACTTTTGTTCACTTTTTTGTTCGTTTGTTTGTTCCCCCTGGGGAATGAATCAGTGTGAGTTTTCAAGTGCAGGAAACCTGTTTGCCAACCATGCCATAGGAGACTAAGGAAATCTGGCTGCTTTACCTTTCTGTACTCATGACAGACAATACCAATCAATCCCAGCAAGTCCAATCAATGACAGACAATACCAATCAATCCCAGTACAGTTGCCTGCTGGGATCAGATATGACTTTAAGATTTTCCTGTCTGAGGCCCTTCAGATAGGCATCACCAATTGTTCTGGCTAACTTGTCCTAAGGTAAAACAGCCTAAAGAGGTTAAGGGTCATGTTCAAGGACATACAGTGAGCTGTCAGAGGTCATACCAGTCTGCGTGATTGGCATGTGCCACGATTAAGACAATGGTAGAGTGGTCTTCATGTCTAGAGAGGTCTGCATTTAAATTCTAGCCCACCACTCGTGTGCTATGTGACTTCAGCAAATCCTTCAATATCTCTGAGCTTCGTTATTCCTCATCCGTCATACCAAAATTAGCTTCTCCCTTTCAGAGTCTTTGTATGAATTAAGTAACAAACACATAGATGCAAAGAATACCAAACTAAACAGAGCAGCGTGTGGTAGCACACACCTGTAATCCCAGCATTAGGGAGGCTGAGGCGGGAGGATCACCTCAAGTCTGAAGTCGGCCTGGGCTACATAGTGAATTCAGGTCCAAGCTGAACTACATCATGAGACCCTGACTCATCAAAAACAAAAACCAAAAAAAAAAAAAACTGGAGAAAGAATACAGAGGACGGGCATGGTGACTCATGCCTGTAGTCGCAGCACTGGGAAGGCTGAGGCAGAAGGATTGCTGTAAACTTGAGGCCCGCCTTGGCTACATAGTGCATTCAAGTCCAGCCTGAACTACATAGCAGGACCCTGTCTCAAAAAACCAAAAAGAAAAAGAGAGAGAGATGGAGAATACAGTACTAAACTGGCCTGGGGTGCAGCTCAGGGATAGAGCCCGTGCTGAGCATGCCCGAGGCCCTGGATTTGATCCCCAGCACTGAAAGAAAGAGAAAACTGAACGAAGAACCCCCAGAGTCTCGGAGCACAGGTTGGGCATGTAGCTGAGTGGTGAGCGCGTAGTTAACACGTGAGCCCCGAGTTCCATCCCCAGCGCTGTAAAGGGGGGAAAACAGTAAATCAGATCAAGTGACCTGTATAAACAAGCCTGCTACAAGCAAGACCAAGCTCAATTTATCCTACAGTGGTTGGCTTCATTTTGGAAAATCAGTTAACATAATTCATGGAATTAATGTATTAAAAAACTAAAAAATCATTTCAATAGGTACATTAACATTTTGTCAGAAAATTTTTTCTTCAGAAAACGTTACAATACACGGGATGTAGCTCAGTGGTGCAGTGCCTGCATGGCAAGTAACAAGGACCTGAGTTCAATTCCCAGTAACAACAAAATTAAGATACAAGACTGTGTGTGTGTGTGTGTGTGTGTATGAGGACTGAGTCCAGGGCTTCATCCATAATAGGCAAGCACTCCAACACTGCCTTAAAATATTCTTGCCAGGCGTGGCAGTGCATACCTGTAATCCTAGCACTTTGGAGGCTGAGGCAGGAGGATTGCTGCAAATTCCAGCCCAGCCTAGACTACTTACTTAAAGGCCAGCGTGTCTCTGTAACAGCCAAAAAACAAAAACCTCTTAATTTGATAAAGGCCGTCTATTTTTTAAAAACCTGTAACAAAGATCATTTTAGCTGTGAAATATTTAAAGCATTTCATTTTCTTTTTTTGTTTGTTTGTTTTTTTTCTGGCACCGGAAATCGAACTCATGACCTTGCGCTCGCCAGGCAGGCGCTGTGCCACTGAGCAAAATCCCCAGTCCAAGCATTTCATTTTCTTCTTACATTTTTTAGATTATTTAACTTGTCTTTTATTTACTTGTTTTTTTGAGACAGGGTCTCACTATGCAGTTCAGGCTGGCTTTGGGCTCACTTTGTACCCCAGGCTGGTCTCAAACTCACAACTATCTTCATGCCTCAGCCTCTGAGTGCTGGGATTCAGATGTGCACCACCATACCTGGCTTAATTACTTTTTATTTGCCTTCTTCCCTCTTTTTTTTAAAGGTAAAATAAAATTTTAATTTTTTTCTTAACTAATTCCACAGCTAACAGTTTCTCTTCACTGTGAGCAAATCTTATGGGTAGGTGAGATAAATGGCAGCAGTGTATAAAGATGAGAGAGAGGAGTTAGGCCGGGTGTGATCCCAGCACTAGGGAGGCTGAGGCAGGAGGATCGAAGTGAGTTCGAGACCAGCCTGGGCTACAAATGGAGCTCAAGGCTAGCCTGAAATGCATAGTGAGACCCTGTCTCAAAAAGACAAAAAAAAAAAAAGTTAGGAGCACTTTTTAGAAAGTACTTTCAGTACTCAAGAAATGATACAGTGTTGTTTGCAAGAGGCCTTGAAGCCAGGTGTGATGCACCCCTGTCATCCCAGCAGTTGGGAAGCTGAGGCAGGAGGATTGCTGAGTTGGAGGCCAGCCTGGGCTACATAGTGAGACCAGTTTGTGGAGGTTTCAGTCCATACTGGCTGGCTGCAAAGCAGAGTGGCACATGGCAGAGGGCAACAGTTCATGGCAGTGGAAAACAGCCAAAGCATCAAGAGCAAAAAGGGAGGAGCTGCCTTTTTTCTCTTTTTAAAAGCATTTTCTTTAACATCAGGAATGTGGAAGCCACTATCACACTGTAGCCCCTGCAATAAGATAAGAAAAACAAGTAATAGGTATGGACAAAAGATGAAACAACCGTCATTGCTTGCAGGTATCTTATACTCAAAAACCACAAAAACCAGGCGAGCGTGGTGGCACACACCTGTGGTCCCAGCACTTAGGAGGCTGAGACAGGAGAATCTACACAAGTTCAAGGCCAGCCTGGGCTGCATAGTGAGATCAAGGTCAGCCTGAACTAGATAGTGAAGCCCTATCTCAAAAATCTCAAAAAATAAATTAGCTCAAGGAAAGAATATAGAAGTAAATATCTAATAGAAAAATTTATGCAGAAAGTAACAGTAACAGTTTGGAATTGGAATTACCTCTGGTGGGAGGAGGGGAATAAACATGATAGGTGGGGGCATAAGGACCCTTCAAAATGACTAAAATTATTAAATTTCTTATTCTGAAGATTAAGTTGTTCAATTCTGAAAAATCACAGATTGATTTTAGGCATCTGTTTGGTTTGTTTTTATTTATTTTGGTTTTGGGTTTTGTTTTGTTTTGTTTTGTTGGTCTTTTTGAGATAGGGTCTCACTATGCAGTTAAGCTGGCCTTGAGCTCACTTTGTAGCCCAGGCTGGTCTCAGACTTGCACCAATCCTCCTGCCTCAGCTTCTCGAGTGTTACGATTACAGGTGTGCACCACCACTTCCGGCTACTTGGTTTTGGTTTTTGAGACAGAGTCTTACTATGTAGTCTAGCGTGGCCTCGAATTCATAGCAATCCTCCTGCCTCAGCCTCCTGAGTGATGGAATCATAGGCATGCACTATCATGCCTGGCTATCTGCTTGGATATGTGGTATATTTGCCTGTTTTCTAAAGTTTTAACAAAACACCGGAGTCTAGATAGTTATAAAAAGGTTTATTTAGCTCAGGAGGCTGAGGCAGGAGGGTCACTGTGATTTTGAAACCAGCTTGGGCTACACAGTGAGTACAAGGCCAGCAAACTCAGTTTTGGAAGCAGAAAGTCGAAGATCAAGCACCTGTGTTTGGCCTCTGATAAGGGCTCTGTTGGATCAGTCACAATCTGATAGAAAAGCAGAAAGAAATAACTGGGTGCCAAAGAGGACGTAGGCATAGGGTGGCCCTGCTTTATAAAACCTGCTCTCAAGACCTAACCAGGGTCCCTTAAGAGCAGCACTAATCCCTTCCAAGGGCGATGCCCCCAATGACCTAATTACCTTCCACACCCTGCCTCATAAGGTGCCACCCTCCCTCCCGTGAGGATTAAGCTGCTATCCCATGACCCTTTGGGGGACTTGGAACCTTACTCAACCCACAGCGAATGATACTTACAGATGGGATTTCTGCCTGTCAGATCATTTCCGGAGGGCTGTTTTGTCTTGCTTTGCTTTGCCTCCCCAATGCCTTTGCTGATAAGCAGAAGGGATTAAGAGGAAAACATGCCTGCCGGGTGTGATGGTGCACACCTGTCCTGGCTGTGAATTCAAGGCCAGCCTGAACTGCATAGCAAGACCCCATCTCAGAAAAATAAATACATCCCCAGCACTCACGAGGCTGAGGCAGGATAGATGCGAGCCCGAGGCCAGCCTGGGCTACAAAGTGAACCCAAGCCCTGTCTAAACTAAGCAGTGAGACCTTGTCTCAAAAAGACGGAAACAGAAACAAAAAAGGAAACGTAGAAATAGATGATGCGGGGCCCCTTGTCTGGGTCAGGCCCGCGTGGGACGCGGCTGCTCCCTGGCGCCGCCTCCCCCGCCCGCGTGCGGGACTGGGCGGTGAGCGGGCGCAACCTGTTGTCTCCAGCAGATACTGGGGGCCATGGAGTCTCAGGTGGGGGGGGGCCCGGCCGGCCCGGCCCTGCCCAACGGGCCACTCCTGGGCACCAACGGAGCCACTGACGACAGCAAGACCAACCTCATCGTCAACTACCTGCCCCAGAACATGACCCAGGACGAGTTCAAGAGTCTGTTCGGCAGTATCGGCGACATCGAGTCCTGCAAGCTGGTTCGGGACAAGATCACAGGTGCGGCGCGCGGGGCGGGGCGGGGCGCGGGCGGAGGGGAGGGCAGGTGCGGGGGCTGCACCTGCGGGCCCGGTTTGTAAGGGCGCTTGGCACCCCAGGCCGGGCACCGAATCACGTCCCGATCTCGCACCCAGGCCAGAGCCTCGGCTACGGATTTGTGAACTATTCTGACCCCAACGACGCAGACAAAGCCATAAACACCCTCAACGGCCTCAAACTGCAGACCAAGACCATCAAGGTGCGTGCCGCCTTCCCCCACCACCGCCCTGGCGCTCGCGCCTCCCGCCGGGGGGTCCCAGGCCCCCCTCACAGCCTCGGGGCTGCTTCGCCTGGCGCTGGGGTGCGGGGAGGCAGTCGCTGTGTTTCTCCAAACCTCAGTTTCCTGGCCTGTTCATGGGGAGCGTGGGAGCCCCACGGTCTCCGGAAGCTTGTGGAGTCAGCCAGGCCCCAGAGGTAGACAGAGGGAGTGTCCAGGGTCCCTGGGGCCACCCCTGCCTGCCTTTGTCCTGGCCGTGGAGGTGGGGGCCCGTCTGCCATCTGGAGCCCCATTAGGGTGTGGGATGTCGGGTGGGGGCGGCCCCTCCCCCCTTTGTGCAGCGCCCCTCCCCCACAGCTCCCCTCCCAGCAGCTGCAGCGGGGACCCTGTGAGCGGATCCCTTGGGGGGATCACCATGGAAACGCCCTCTCCGGGTCCGCCTGGGGGTGTGTGGACTCCACCCCACAAATCTGCTTCTGGACCCTGAGGGAGGCTGGGCGGGGGGTGCCCATCTGGCCCCCTGTTTGCCGTGGGGACTGGGGTATAGGAATCTCTTCCTGTCCTTGACTTGGGTGTGCCCTGGAGAAACGAGGTTGTGACCTCCTGGCCCCCCTGCGGCCAGCTGGACTGAGAAGTCCCCAGCCTGTGAGGGCGGACACTAGTGACTAAATATAAGCACACGCTCGTGTGTGTGTGTGTGTGACGCCCCTGGCTGGGAGACGCAGTGTTTCGGGACATGGTTGTATAACACGGAGTCTACGCAAGTGGCTTCTGTCATGTGGCTCTGCTTGTGTGACGCGTGTCCCTGAGGGTCTGGAGAGGCTGGTATTTAAGGCACAGGTGCTTTTTTTTTTTTTTTCCCCGGTACCGGAAATCGAACTCACAACCTTGCCCTTGCCAGGCCGGCGCTGTGCCGCTGAGCTAAATCCCCAGCCCCTAAGGCACAGGCGCTTTCTGACAGAAACACTCTGGCTGTGACCAGGTGGGGCACTGTGGGTGTGTCTGGCTATGACAGAGTGTGTGTGTGACCAGGTGACATTGTATGGGTGTGTGTTTCTGTGCCCCGGGTGCTCTGCAGTGGGTGACAGGTGTGTTCTTCGATTCTGACTGTAACTCTCGTGAAGATATTTTTCTTTTCCTTTTTTTCTTTCTTTGGTACTGGGAATTGAGCTCAGGACCTTACGCTTGCCAGACAGGTGCTTGTGCCGCTGAGCTATATCCCTGGCCCCTGACTGTAACTCTCAAGACCCTTATGTTGCTGGGCGTGGTGACCCATGCCTATAATTCCAGCACTTGGGAGGCTGAGGCAGGAGGATCGTTGAGAGTTCGAGACCAGTCGGGGCTACAAAAGGAGCTCAAAGAAAAAGACAGAACAAGCCTCATGTCGCAGGGAACCAAGCGGTGGCCTTGTGACACCCTCTTGCCAGCTTCCCCAGCGTGACCGTGCTGTGAGGTAGCACCCAGTGTACTCGTATGGGTCCCCGAGGCTGTGTCACAGGGTTGGGCTCCACTGAGTCACGTGCCTGTGTTGGGTGACATTCTGGTGTAGGAAGAATTTGCCGGTGCTGCCAGCAGGGAGCCCCCATGGTAGAGAGATGGGAAAGGCCTGTAAAGACCTACCGTGTGCTTTAGGGGATCCCGGACCCCAAACTCCATGTCTGTGCTCAGGGCCCCTGCTCCATCTCCAAATCTGATCCACCCAGCCAACCCCCTAGGCACAGTTGCTCTCTCTCGTTTTCTCCTAATCTCAGGTACTTGGGAGGCAGAGGTAGGAGGGTTGCAGGTTTAAGGTCAAGCGGGCAATTTAGGGAGACTGTTTCAAAATAGAAAGGGCTGGGGATAAAGCTCCGCGTGAAGCCCCGAGGTTCAACCCCCAGGAAGGCAGAAGCAAAACCAAGGAAAATAAAACAGCAGCTGCTGAGTCTGTTTTTTTCTGGAGGACCCCAGGTGTGCAGTTGCTTTAATCTGAGGCCACCCCCACCCCGCCCCAAGCACCCCCACCCCAGTTCACCTCCACTCCGTTTATTTATTTTGTTTTTTTTCTTAATTAGTTATTTCCGATGAAATACTACACCCTGGCAACTCGCAGCCCAGAACAAACACAGACCCTGGGCAACAACAACCTTCAGCTATCCGGAGGTTAATTGAGAAGAAAGAAAAAGTAATGTCGGTAGAAATAAGGGGGCAGGGAGCTCGCCCTGCCCGCCCCCCACAGGTCACCCCGTTAGCATTTGGGGGCGGAGCTTCAGGCCGGTCTCCCGGACATAGGCTGGGACACAATGCGAGGGGTCACACAATGCCGGCTGTTTTGTAAATGGACTTTTCTTTCGCCACTCCACAATGCGCACCACTGTTTGGGGAATCAATGTACGCGACCAGCGCTTTCTCAACAGCTGCAGCATTTCAGGGTTGGGCTGGACCCCGCGGGCAGCGGCTCGAATCGAATGATGGCGCTGAAACGTGTAAATTCACAAGGGCAAGATGTGCTTTGAGAAAGAGAAACTGAGGTGGGCATGGGGCGCGGGGAGAGGACGAGATCAGGGTGGAGCGTGCAGGGCATCGTGAGCTCCAGGAAGGATTTTAATGCCAAGGAAGGTGGGAGCTGCAGAAGGTTCTATGCAGAGGCAGTGACTGGTCCCAGTGTTCACAGGCGCCCTCTGGCTGCTGTGGGCGGCAACCGAGTGAGCGTAGAAGCCCGGTGGTCTGTGGTGGTGGCTGGGATGGTGAAGCCGGCAGGGTTTATGGTGGCTGAAGAGCGGCCCTGAAGGACAGGGAAGTGTTGGGGACACTCAAGGCTGGGGACCAACGGACAGAGCCACCATTGCTTTTAGGGTTGGGGTTAGGGTTAGGACCCCTTGACCTGGACCCACAGCTGCGTCCCCCACCCCACCCATGCTCCCTTCTGTTCCATCGTGGGACCACTAAAAGAGATTGTTGTTGGGTGTGGGGGTGCACACCTGTAATCCCACCTACTCAGGAGGCTGAGGCAGGATGATCTCGAGTGTGAACCCACCTTCCCCCAGGTGTCCTACGCCAGGCCCAGCTCTGCATCCATCCGGGACGCTAACCTGTATGTCAGCGGGCTCCCCAAGACCATGAGCCAGAAGGAGATGGAGCAGCTCTTCTCCCAGTACGGGCGAATCATCACCTCGCGCATCCTGGTGGACCAGGTCACAGGTCTGCAGCGGGGAGAGGCGGCCGGGGGCGGGGGGCGGGCGCACGCGGTCCAGGTCCAGGTGTCCTCACGCCCGTGCTCTCGCCTGGCAGGTGTGTCTCGGGGCGTGGGCTTCATTCGCTTTGACAAGAGGATCGAGGCCGAGGAGGCCATCAAAGGACTGAACGGGCAGAAGCCGCTGGGCGCGACCGAGCCCATCACGGTCAAGTTCGCCAACAACCCGAGTCAGAAGACAGGACAGGCGCTGCTCACCCACCTCTACCAGTCCTCGGCCCGGCGCTACGCAGGCCCCCTGCACCACCAGACGCAGCGCTTCCGGTGAGCTGTCTGCGCCCCGGGACCCCAGGCTCACAGCTCATCTCCTGCAGAGACGGGGGCCCCACACACTGGGGCTGCTGAGGCACGGAAAGGCCGAGGCCTGGTTGTGGGGTACTGAGACCCCGCCCTAGTATACAGGCGGTGCTCATAGCATACAGTGTGTGCTGGCCAGGACTGCGGGCTTGTGAAAGGGGCACTGGGAATGGAAAACCAGGGTTTTGCGCTGAGCTACATTTCTAGCCCCCTTTTTTATTTTTTACTTTGATAGAGGATCTTGCTAAGTGACTGAGTTACCCACCTTGGTGGTGGACTTGTGACCTTCCTGCCTCAGCCTCCCAGAGTGCTGGGAGGACAGGTGCGCACCACTCTTCCTGGCCCAGTTGGCATTATTAGTGTTAGGGTGGTGTTGAAATTTGGCTGAGGTCCTAGTCTCTTCCCGTGTGTTGGTGCGTGGCGTCTGGACCTCAACCTGCTGCTGATCTGTAACAAACACACCGAACACCTCCTGAGCACTTGCTGCGTGCCGGGCATATTTATTTATTCTGTACAGCGACCCCGTGGGAACGGGGTTTATCTCGTCCCCCGTTTATGGAGGGTGAACCTCAGTAAAGTGCAGAGGGATGTCAGGCTTAATCAGCACCCAGGGCCCCAAGTAGAAGTTTCCAGCCGCTTCCAGTCCGGGGGAAAGCGGAGGTCCCTCGCGGGCCCCTGGGTGGCTGAGAAGAGTTACCCACGCACTAGTGCTCTGGGTCAGTGGCTGTGGCTGTCACTGTCCCCTTTGTTAGGGCAGATCCTAACTCAAGACGCCAGCCCAGGCCCCTCCCCTGCCGGCCACCGGGGAGGGGAGGACGGGGATGCTGAGGGGCGGGGACCGAGGGATGGCGGTCCGTGCCAGGCGGCGTCCAGCGGGACGGGCGGGGGTGGGGCAGTGCTGCCGGGTGGGGGCAGGGAGCCAGGGCTCCGCCGTCACAGTGGTGACACCGCTTCTGCCTCCCCAGGCTGGACAACCTGCTCAACATGGCCTACGGAGTCAAGAGGTAACAGTGCCCCCCGCCCCAGCTGCCCCTCCTCAGACCCTCGCCCGCCCCACCCTCCCCGCCTCTGTCCAGGGGCCGCGAGGCCCCCGCCTGGTTTCCAGCAGGCGGACCCAGCCTGGGCGCCGGCTCGGAGCTCGCAGGTGTCCGAAAGGGCCCCCGTGAGGTGTGGGCTCCTGGCCACTTCTGAAAGGCAGTCGGCTTGGCCCAGGACACAGCTGTCCATGCCCGGTGCCTCCCACGTTAACTCTCTGGGACCCGCCAGCCACTCTGAATCGTGTTTGTCAAAGGTCACAGGACGACTTTCTTCTGCCCCAGAGTCAAGGTGGATTGCGCCGTGCCCCTCGACACTGTGTCCCTGATCTGGCGACAGTCCTCATGTTCGTTTGGTTGGCTGGTTTTTCGAGATAGTTCTTAGCTACATAGCTGATCCTCCTGCCTCAGCCTCTCGAGTGCTGGGGTGATAGGCTTGTGCCACCCCGCCCAGCTGACGATCCGTGTTCATTGCGTCAAGAGCTGTTGAGGGCGGGTATGAAAAGCAGGCGCTGGGCTTGGGGCCGGGGTGAACCTGGCCCAACTTGGTGGAGAGGGAGCGAGGCCAAGCTCTGCGCGAAGCGCTCAGGAAGGCAGCCGCTCCGAGGGTTCTTGCGGCTGCTGTTCCGGGCCTCGGTCCTGTGGGGGAAGAGAGGAATGAGCGGGCACCGGCGCTGTGCAGGGGGCAGAGTAAGGGGTGGTGGGGACCCGCAAAGGCCCCGACCTCCTGGGGTGACCTTGGGACTGAGGCCGAGAAGAGCCGCAGCTTCGGTTCCTGGCCGAAGGACCAGCCTGTGTGAAGGACAAGGGCAGCAGCGGGCAGTCAGCCCAGTGTGCTCGGTCGAGTGGTGCAAACCCTCCCGGTCCCCCTCCAGGCTGAGTGGTTTAGTCCTGAGGGTTAGAGACCAGTGAGGAAGCGGAGTAGAGTGAGTTCTGTCCTTTCATTAATTCATTCAACAAACATCCCCCAAGACCCTAGCAGGTAGTATTCTGGGGCAGGAAGATGCCAGGGAAGGGGGAAGATAATAAATACAGTGATTCCCTGCCTCATCTGCTGGGGATACGTTCCAAGACACACCCCTGAAATCAAGACTGACACCCAACCCTTAATATCTTACGATTTGTATACATGTGTTACTGATCACAGAATTCAGTGAACGTTTAAGTTGAGAAAGAATTTACCATGGTAAAAGACACGTTGCCATGAGCCCTCTCAACCCCCACACAGGCTTTGAGCACACTTATCCCATCATTCTTGCCACTTTCCGTAGCAGCTCTGGAGGGGTTCTTTCCCAAGTGTCTTTAAGAGCTTCGATCAGAAACACGGGGACTGTTGCCGCTGAGCGCAGCTCCGAAAAACATGCCCATGTGTCCTCATCCATTCATTCCCCAGATCTGGCTCTTCCCCAAAGTCAAAGTGACCTTGAAAGGGCAATGTTTTGATTGTTTCGGGGTTTTTTTGTCTTTTGAGACAGGGTCTCGCTCTGCAGTTCAGGCTGGCCTTGAGCTCACTTTGTAGCCCAGGCTGGTCTCGAACTCGCAACGGTTCTCCTGCCTCAGCCTCCCGAGTGCTGGGATTACAGGCCTGCACCACGATGCCCGGCCTGAAAGGGCAGTGTTTCGAGTCAGTTCAGGACATGAAGGGAGCCACAAAGATGCAACTAAAGACACTCACAAAAGGGGAAGGACAGAGCCGCTCCAGAAGTGGCAGGAGTGACGTGGGACAAGTGTCGGGAGTGCGGGGAAGGCCTGCCACAGGGGTCCCTGGCAGGGTGCCTTTCGCTGTGATAAGCTTTGCACTTTGGAGCGGCCTTGCTGTGTGGTCCAGGCGGCCTCAGCAGAGTTAGCCCAACTTTCCTTCCTTCTTCTTTCTTTTTGCCTTTCTCTTTTTTCTTCCTCTGCTCTCTTTCTCCCTTTCCTCCCTCCCTCCTTCCTTCCCCGTGTCCGGCGGCTGGAGCACATGCTCCCCCGCGGAGCTGCTGCCGCGGCCCCGTGCTTCCTCCCGCTCTGCCCAGTCCCGGGGCTGGCACCTCGCCCCCGCCATGGGCCCCGTGCCCTCAGCACGCAGTTTGCCTTTTCCTAAAGTTGGAGACACTCGCCTGGGCGCTCCTGTGCCACGGCTAAAGAATGGTTTCCTTCTAGGATGTTCTGTGCACCGTGTTCACACCGAGGTTGAGCTCAGAAAGCAACTCTTGGGAGGAGAGGGGGGCGCGGCGCGTGATTTGAGGAGGAGAAGCCGGGAGGGGCAGAGGTCGCAGGGTTGGGCCGGAGGGCGCTGAGGACAGGGTCAGGCGGGTGCGGCTCACGTTCGGGGGGCTCAGAGGTCGGGACGGGGCTGCGGGCGTCTCGGGAGGGCCCTCCGAGCAGGCGCGGCAGGGTCTTGACTGCGCTGGGGTTCCGGGGGTCGGAGGCATGCCGGGGGTCAGGGCAGAGCCCGCGTGACCCCCAAAGTAGTCCCCTGTCGCTCATCGCCAGGTTCTCTCCCATCGCCATCGACGGCATGAGCGGCCTGGCCGGCGTGGGGCTGTCGGGGGGCGCGGCGGGCGCCGGCTGGTGCATCTTCGTGTACAACCTGTCGCCCGAGGCGGACGAGAGCGTGCTGTGGCAGCTGTTCGGCCCCTTCGGCGCGGTCACCAACGTCAAGGTCATCCGCGACTTCACCACCAACAAGTGCAAGGGCTTCGGCTTCGTCACCATGACCAACTACGACGAGGCGGCCATGGCCATCGCCAGCCTCAACGGCTACCGCCTGGGCGAGCGCGTGCTGCAGGTGTCCTTCAAGACCAGCAAACAGCACAAGGCCTGAGCTGCCCCCTCCCCGCCACCCCTCCCCGGGCAGCAGAGAGAGAGAGAAAGAGAGAGAGAAGGGGCCGGAGAGAGACAGCCCAGGCAGGCGGACCCCACCCCTGCCCGGCGGTGCCCGTCCTTCCTCCCCGCCCCCGCCCACCCCCAGCTGGGCTGGTCACTCTCTCGTCTTGGTTTGGTTCATGGTGAAGGTTTTTGTTCCTTTTTTTCGGCTAAAAAGAAAGCAGAGACGAGCCCCCACCCCACCTTTCACCACCCTCCACGGGATGGCTTGGGGGACCCCGGGGGGCCCTCCCAGCCCAGGCCTCCCCGACATCTTAGGTGGGACTGGAGAGGGGGAAGGGAACAGGTTTAAAAATCCCCAAAATAAAAAAGCGAGCCGTGAAGAGGGGTGTGGGCATCCCTGGCTCCCAGAACCCCTGGGAGGAGGCGAGGGAGCAGGGGGAGGGGAGGGGCCGGAAGCAGAAACAAAATGGAGAAAAAAGGGGGGTGGGAGGGGAAGAAAAACTCTATTTTTGTAAAAAGGGAAAAAGACCTCGTGGAGAATTTTTACTGGGGATTCTTGAACTTGAAAAAAAAAATCACAAAAAAAGACAAAAAAAAAAAAAACAAAGAAACTATTTTGGCAGGTTATGTTTACCAACTGGGGCACGGGCAGGGCTGAGGGGCTGGGGGTCCACAGGGCCACACACACGCGCACACACCACGGGGACAGAGACACAGACACGCACAGACACACTTAGGGTCACGTTCAGGAACTCCTGGCCAAACCCAGACCCGTGGCAGGGTGTACCCAAAGGACACACAGGCCCGGGGCTGCCCCGATGTGGACACAGCCGGAGGCGGCCGTGCACACTTGCAGGTGTGCAGCCTCGGATATCTCGTGTCCACGCGGGTGCAGGCTGTCGCACGGCAGATCCGGATGTGCAAAGCAAAGCAGGACACCCGGTCACACCCACAGACAGCACGGACAGGGACACACACATGCTCAGCATCCTGAGGTCTGCAGGCTGGCCGGGCCCCTCCTCCCCGGGGGTTCCCTCGGGTCCCACCCGCCCCAAGCCCTTTCCTGGACCGTCGGGGGTCTCCCTGCTGCCCACCAACGCAGGCATGCAACACGGCGTCCATGCACCCAGACACAGATACCTCGGTCCGCTTTGGCCCCGCCCCACAACACTTGAGGCCAAAGGACTCCCTGTCCCCTGAGCCTCCTCCCGCGAGGGCCGGGCCTCCCCGGCAGCAAGCACCTAGCAGCCCCCCTCAGGCCCAGGGTGGACAGGCCCTACACCCTTTCCCGTCCACTTTGTCACCCCCTTTTGGTTTGTTAGGTTTGTTTTTTTTTATTTATGTCTCCAGGTTGAGGAGGGCGGTGGTCACAGCTCTCGTGCGGAGCCCAGCCCTGGCTTCTGTCTGGATTTTGTCCCCACCCCCCACACACCTTGTCTCTCCCTGTTCACTGTTTTTTAAAAAAAATTCCGACAGAAGCCAAAGGCCGGAGCTCCTGGGAGCCCTGGAAGCCCCTCACCCCCTCAGCGGGCCCAGTCAGAAGGGAGAATCGCGAAGCCCCATCTTAGTTCAGTGGCCTCCTGTCCTTCCGTCCAGCGTCCGGCCACGGCCCCGATTTGAACGTCCAACTCTCTCTCCCCACCCCTCCCGTGTTGTTATTAAACGTCTGTGGAGCTTCTGCTGCAAGGAACAAAGAAAAAAAAAAAGCAACAAAAAAAAGAGAAAAACACAAACAGAAGAGGAAGGGAAAAAAAAAAGCAACAAAAAAAGAAGAGGAAAAAAAACACACAGAGAAGAGATTTAAAAAAAGAAAAAAAAGACATAAACTGGCACCAGTTAACTTTCTTGTACTTTTTTGCTGAATTTAGCTTCTTGTAGTTTTAACTTATTGCTATGTTAACTATTTATTATCCCTGTTGACCTGTAAGGACCTTTGTGTATATTTCTGTTCTTTCATCCGGTTTGCAAGTTAAAGGAACTCCGATGTTCTTTGTTTCTTTAAGTTTTGCTGAGACGTGGTTATGCCTAATTTATTTATAAAAGGGGAAGTGGAATCGTTAAAGTAATAATAATTATTAATAACAGTAACGGCAGCCAAGCGGCGGCGGGGGAGCGGGAGTTCTGCAGGGCTGCCGCCCCCGCCCGGGCCGGCCACATCCGGGGATGTCAAGGGGGTTCATTTTGCTCTTGTCTTGAGAATTTTTTCAGTCCTACTTAGCTGGTGAAACCCTAGCTTGTTCATGATACATGAATCTATTTATTCTTGTGGTTTTAAGTCCACTCTCCTCTCCCCACCCTCCCAGCAGGGCAGGGACCCCCGGTTCCCCCAGCGGGTCCACCCTCTTCCCCTGCTGCCTCTGGGGCTTTCTCCCCGACGCCCTCCGCATAGAGCAATAAGGGCTGGGTTCGCCCCCCGCCCGGGGGGTCCAGGCTCTGGAGAGGGGACACCTCCGCACCCCCCCACACCGAGGCCTAGGCTTCTGCCACCCCGACACTGGGAGGGGACCTCTTTTTCTAAAGCAGAGCTCAGCCCAGCCAGGCCCCTTCCCTGGAGGCCGACCCCTCCCCCCAGGGGCCAGGCCAAGGGCTCCCTGGGAGGGGACCCCGGGCTTCCACCTCCTGGGGGTCGGGGGGCAGGGCCAGCAGGGAGGGGGCTCAGCCCCTCCAACCCTCCCTTCATCCTGTAATTTATTCAGAAGGTTTCAAATCACGACAGAGTCCATGTTGGAGGTGATAAAGAACTGTTAAAAAAAAAAAAAAAGACAAAAAAAAAGAAAAAAAAAACAGAAAAGAACAAAAAAACCAACCCAACGGAGAACACTTTGCGTTGCGTTTAGACTATTTATTACCAGGATTCCTGGCCTGGCCGCGGTAACAGACTTTTACATGGAATTGTTTAATTATTTGTACTTTTCATGCCAGAAAATAAAAGTTCAGAATCTTAAGGTCTTGGGTGGTATGTGCTGGGGGCGTGCAGGGAGGGCTGCGGGTGGGTCTTGCCACGTGGCTGAGCTCAGGCAGCTGGGTCTTCCTGGGTCTAGGTCTTTTTTTGAGACAGGGTCTCACTATGTAGTTCAGGCTGGCTTCGAATTTGTGATCCTCCTGCCTCAGCCTCCTCAGTGCTGGGACCACAGGCGTGCACGGCCATGCCTGGCTTGGGCCTGGGTCTCATCTGCCCCAGGAGGGCACGCTGCTCACTCCTACCCCTACCCCCCCCATGAGAGCACAGGGTACACAGATGGAAGTGGCCTGGGCTCCACCTGCGCCCAGTGCTGGACTTGGCCGCTGGCCTGATGGAGGGCCAGGCCGGGCAGGATCTGCAGACGGCCGCGTCTCGCTCCCCTGCGTTCACCTCTGCCCCCCACTTGGTTCTACATCCCACAAACAGGACAGACACAACCAACTTCGGGGACAGAGTCACATTTATTGTTCCTAATGTCACAGATGAAGTCACTCGCTGGCCCCACCATCAGGGAAGAGGGGCAGCAGGAGGTCGGGGGGGACCTCCAGGGTGGGGACCAGGGACCGGGGCTCCTCTCCCCCATATCTTGAGAGGCCACGGGGGCCGGGGAACATGGCCCAGCCAGCAGGGCCCAGGGAGCAGGGTTCACGGGCCCCCAAGGGTCCTGCTCCGTGCAGGGGGGCGAGGGACCCCAGGACCCAGGCCTTGGTCCACAGACGGAAGGTGGAGGGCAGCGCTGCCGGGGCTGCTTCCCGCCTTGAGAGTCTGGATGGGAGAAAAAGGGCGTATGGGGGGCGTGCAGCGTCACACACCTGGGAGCCCGGCAGTCGGGGCTGGACAGCAGGGACTGCTAGGAGTTCAAGGCCAGCCTGGGCCACACAGTGAACCTGAGGCCAGCGCCAGCCACACACCAAGAACAGCAAGACCCCGTCTCCAAACACCCCCACACCCACACACACACCTCGGCCGGCGGGGCTACAGCTCGTCGTGCTCACTGTCGGCGGGCAGCTCGGGCGGCGGCTCGGGGCAGGCGGCCGGCGTGCTGAGCTCCATGAGGTACTCGCAGCGGCTGGGCTCCGAGGTGCTGGTGACCACGGTCTCCTTCCCGCACAGCAGGCGCACCTGGGGGGAGGCGGCGCTCAGCAGCGGGCGGGGCGGCGGCGGCGGCGGCTCCCCGCGGCCCGCGCTCCCGGCACTCACGGTGGTGGAGCGGTTGGGGCCCTGCCAGCAGCCGGTGCCCTGCTCGTACTTCATGGCGCTGAATCTGTCGTGCTCGGGCCCGGCCCACGAGCCCCACGTGCTGCGGGGAGCGAGGGGCTCAGCGCCGGCGGGGACGGCGCGGGGAGGGGTGCGGCGGCCACTCACCCGAGGTTGGTGGGGGAGCCGCCGAGCTTGGGCTTCTGGGAGACGAGCTTGAAGGGGCAGAGCCGGTAGACGTATCTGCGGGGAGCGCAGGCGCCTGTGCCGTGTGGCCCCGGGCCTGACCCCGGCCCCCGCCCTGCGCCCCGCCCCAGCGCATGCCTTCCGAGGCCGTGTCCCGCGAGCCCCCCGGCCCCGCGGCCGCGCGCGGACCCACTCGTTGGTGGTGAGCTCGTAGCACTGGCTGTACAGGTAGGCGAACTCCCCTTGCGGGCCGAAGTCGAAGGAGATCTCCTGCTCCAGGTTCCTGCGAGGAGAGGCCGCGCACAGGCAGCGAAGTGAGGGCGTGGCGGCCCGGCCCGGCCCGGGGACAAACACCGGAGGGCTGTGTCCCCTGCCATCCCTGCCACCCGGGGACCCTCCCCGCAGGAGCCACCCCCGCTGGGGCCTCGGCTGCCTCGGCAACTCCCGGTGGCCGCGGCCTCTAGGGACCTGCGTGGCGGGCGGTGGCCGGGCGGTGGCAGCCGGCTGGGACTCAGCCCCTGGTACCTGATGGACTCCTCCATGTCCTTCAGGGACCGCTCGGCCTCCTCGAACTTGCTGCGGGCCTCCTGCGCAGCTGGGGGAGGGGCCACGGGTCACGGGTCCCCGCCCCACACGGGGAGCTTTGGGGACCAGAGACCGGACGGCTGCCCTCCGCCCACTGGGCCCGCCCCGGGCAAGGACGGAGCTGGGGAGCCCGCGCGCCCCTCGCCGGTGCAGGGCACGTGCACCTTGCTGCTGAGGCGCCACGCCCTGCCTAGCTGGCGCCCCTTGGGCCCCAAGAGGTGACACAAACAAGCTGTATCCCGGGAGCAGAAGACTCCCAGGGCCAGCGGCGGGGCGGGGGGGCCTTTCCCGGGGGCAGAGGCCCGCACAGTCCGTGCGTGTATGTGTCGGGGGCTCTGAGACGGAGGGGACACCCGAGGGCGCAGCGGGGACTCCATCCCAGTGCGGGGGCCCTGGTGGGAAACGGGCGCGCTCCCCACCCGACCCGGCCTCACCGGCGATGAACGCCTGCGTCTGCTCGTCGTAGGGGGGCATCTTGTCCTCCTCTCTGGGGCTGGCAGGCTGGGGGGGCTCAAGTGGGGACGGGGCCTCCTGTGGGGGGGGCGAGCCATCAAGTGGCAGCGCTCCCCCCACACCAACCCTGCGCCCCCAACACACAGCTGGGGCTGCTCCCCGGCACCTGGGAATCCTGCTCCTCCTCCTCCTCCTCACTCTCCTCCTCCTCTTCCTCCTCCTCCACGGGATGGGTCGGCGCTGATGGCGGCTCCTCCTCGGGCTCTGTCTCTTCCGGGGGCGCTGAGGGAGCTGGCAGGTCGGCGGGCAGCGCCTGGCGGGCAGGGGGGAGCGGGGCAGTCGGGACTCCGCACCCCAGGCTGCCGCCGCGGCGGCCTCCGCGTCTCCGCCCCTTCCAGAGGGCGGGAGAGGGCTCTGGCGGGAGCCTGGGTGGCCCAGCTGGCCGGGGTGGCCCGGTGCCAGGACGGGAGGCAGCGCCTTTGTGAGGCGGTGGCAGGGGCGGCACGTCCCCGCCCCCACAGACCTCCGAGCGGTACTTGTCCCTGATGGCGGCCCAGACGCGCGCGTAGAAGGAGCTGGCGTCCGTCCGTGAGTCCCCACCGAGCAGGGCCTGTGTGAGGGTTGCGGTGGGTCAGGAGGGCCCCCGTGCCCTGCTGCCCGGCTCCTGGGCCTCCAGCAGCGGTGCCGGGCACGGGAGCGTTGGGCCCTGAGCCGCGGGACCAGGCGGCCGGAGGGTGGCAGTCCAGGCCGTGGAGGGGAGTGACGAGGGCCGGGAGACCGAGAGGGACAGATGGACGCGAGGGGGACAGCGCAGGCCCCAGCGTGCGCCAGGCCCACCCAGCCCAGGGTACAACAGGGGCAGGCTGGGACGGGCCAGGAGGACAAGGGGAGGGCAGCTGTGACGGGTGGGGGAGTTGCTGTCCCCTTCTGAGGCATCCGCAGGGGTGCACGGCAGGGTCGGGGAGGGGGGTGCCGCACTGCCCGAGGCCACTCTGGACCCACTAGGCAGGGAGGATTTCGAGGCACCCTGATGTCCCCGCCCAGGGCCGGAGGGGGGCTTCACACTGCCGGCCGGTGCCCCTCCTGCCTGAGGCCGCTCGGGTACCTGGGCCTCCCCTTCAGACAGCGCCCCGTCACCGTCCGTGTCCAGCTCTGGGTGGCTCTGCAGCTCGGCCACCGAGACCCTGCAGGGCACAGGCAGGTGAGGCCCTGGCTCTGCCCGCTGCCCAGCAGGCCGTGGGCACCGGGTGACCCACTGCCTCCTCCACGCCAGGGCCACCAAGCACCTCCCGTGGGCCTCCGGGCAGGGGAGGAAGCGGGAGGGGAAACGAGGCACTGGGCCCCCACCCAGCCCCCAGCCCCCGCCTCCTTCCGCATCTGTGCCTCGGCACTGGGTAACCCCAGCGGGGGCACAAGGCGGAGGTGGAGAGCGGGTGGGGTGGGAGCCGCCAGGAGCCCCCGTCCCTGAAACCATTTCCTGACCCCAACTTCACTCCGCCCACCCCACAGCCCAACGCTCGGGAACGGCCCGCTGCTCACCCCCACAGCGAAGCCCGCTACCCACGCCAGCCTGGATGCCGCGACCTGTACCCCCGAACCAGCAGGGAGCACCCCACCTGCCCTCTGCCCCCCATCGCTCTGAAGACCCCTACTCCTCGCCCTTTGGATTCCCGGTGTCCCGCAACACCCCACCTTCCAGCCGGAAAAAGGTCGGAGGCAGGGCCGGATTTTTGCCACGGCAACCCAGGCGCAGGGACACTTACACACCGTCCACGTTGTCGTCCAGCTCCCGGAAGGCGTCGGCCGCCAGCTGCTGCTCGCGCTGGGCCTTGGCAGCGGCCTGCTGCTCTGTGGAGGGGCAACTCGGTGACCCTGGGCGCCTCCCGCTCCTGACACCCCAGAACTGGCTTCCAGGTGTCACGGAGCCCCCACTGGGCATGCGGCCTGCCAACACAGCTGGGGATGAGATGGACAAAGGTCCCTCCCACGGGGGGAGGACAGGCACTTAGGCCTGGAGGGACGCTGAAAGGAGAGGAAAAGCTGGGGACAGCACTGGGAATGCGGGGGAGAGGAGACGGGAGGCCGGGGCTCCAGAGTCCACCCACCTCTCCCCAGCTCAAGCCGGGTCGGGACCAGCACACACGGCGCCTCATCTCCTGGCTTCTGCCTGCCCGCTCCCCCTCGAGACTGTCCCCAGTGACCAGGGGAGACCGGAGCCACCCAGGCACGCTCCTGCCTCTGCGCGACCGCTCCCCGGTGCCCCATTCTTCCCCGCAGCCTAGCTGACCTGCCTCATCAGCACCCCGCCCTCGCACCCCCTCAACCCTCCATTTATCACTCCACCACGTGACCAAGCTGCTCCTTAAACATCAGACTTGAAGCCGGGCATGGTGGTGCACACCTGTACTGCAGGAGGAGCCCAGGTTCCAGCCCCACCTTGGTAATTGAGTGACTTAGTGAGGTCCTATCTCAAAATTAAGAAAATTGAAAAAAGAGCGAGGAGTGGAGTTCAGGACACAGGCTCTGGGTTGAACAAGACGCCACGGGAAAACACCACCTAAGACTGGCAGCAGATAGGAGCGGAGCCTAGGCCAGGCCTGTCCTCTCCATGCCAGGCCTACCTTCCCACAGCTTCCGGTGCTGCTCCTTGGCCTCCTTCTCTGGCTTCTCCGCCTCTTCCTTCAAAGTCCTTAGCGTCTCCACCTGGTCTTCCAGCGACTTCCTCCCGGCCTGCAGCTCCGTGAGCTTTTTCTGGATGGACAGGAGGCAAGAGGCCGGCTCTCCTGGTCTTCTGCCTCCGCCACCTCTGCCGGGCACCTCTCCGGCTCTACCCCCCCAGGGACCAGTGACCTGACACATACATCTCTCTGGGTCTCCCCAGGCTGTGGTTCCCTGAGCCCTCGGGACAGAAGCCCAGAGGCCTCCAGGTGGCCGAGAAAACCAAGCACAGCACCTTTTTATTTGGAACCTGGGTCTTGCTAAGTTACCCAGGCAAGGCTCGGGCTTTCGCCCCAGGGACCCCTCACCTGCTTCTCCTCCCGGGCCTTCTTCCAGTCCTCAATGAGGATCTTCTTCAGGCGGAAACCCTCTCGGGTGACCTCTGCCATCTGCTGCAGGGACTCTCTCTCCTGGCGGCCCTTCTCTCTGGGGGAGGAGGGGGGCACATGGGCAGCACCAGGGGCACTGAGGGCCCACAGTGCCTGCCTTTCCCACAAGGGCTCAGGCCACCCGCCAGCCCAGCCGCTACGCACCAGGCCAGAAAGCTGAGACCGCAAACCCTCCACCGACCCTACGCCCTTGCACTGTCCTTTAAAGGGGGACAGGGTTTGTCCTCCCTCAGAGCCAGGGGAGGGACCAGGGAGTGACGGGGGTGGAGCTGGAGACAGGCAGGCAGACAAACAGAAAGGGCAGGAATCCAAGAGTGGTGGCACAGACCAGTGATCCCAGCATTCTGGGAGGCTGAGGCAGGAGGAGTGAAAGTTGGGAGCTCAGCCTGGGCAATTTAGCAACTTAGCAAAATCTTTTCGCAAAACAAAAAACATAAAAAGGGGCACCTCAGCGCTAAGGCCCTTGATTCAATCCCTAACACACAGACACACACACACAGCAGAAGATAGAGACTTTCAACTCATGGGGCGGAGTCAGGCCAGGCGCTGGAGTGGTGAGGGGCAGGGATGCTTACTTGCAGGTGTTTTCACAGACGGTGCCGCTGTTGTACTCGTCAGTCCCGTCACAGCAGTCTGAGGCAGAAGCCGGGAGATCAGAGCCAGCGGTGCCTCCTCCAGCCCCCGCCCCAGGGCCGGAGCCCCACTCACCACAAACGCCATCATTGACGCGGCTGGAGAGGATGTACAGCGGCTTGTAGCCGGCGTTGGTGCAATGGAAGTTCCCGTTGGGACAGGCAGCCGTGCCTGCGGGGGGAGGGAAGGTCTGCTGAGGTCACCGAGGGCCAGACGCGGCCCATCCTCCACCCATACCCACAGCCCAAGCCACAGACAGCGCCGGAGAGCCGGGAGAAACGCCAGGCGTAGCAGGGCGCACGCCTGAAGAGCTGAGGCGGCAGGACGGCTGCATGTTCGAGGGCAGCCTGGGCCACACAGTGAGTGCGAGGCGGCCCGGGCTACATCATAGTGAGACCAGGTCTCCACACGCCAAAGGACAGGACAGGAACGACCCAGGGAAGCAAACAGCCGCACCCTGGGGGCCTGAAACGAAACCCTCCAGAGTCGCAGCGGCGGCCAGCTCCTCCTCGCTGGGATGCCTGTCCCCGGCCAGCCTGCCCCGGCCAGCCTGCCCCGGCGCTACCACGCCCACCTGGGGGTTGCAGCAGGTGGGCCTCCCGCCTGCACCTGCTTCAGGGTTCACCCGACGCCCCACCGCCAGAAGCCTGCGCAGCTGCCCTGGTGCTAGCGTGTTTTTTCTTCTTTGCGGGGCAAGCGGTGCTGGGGACGGACCCCGGGCCTCACGCATGCTAAACAGGCAGGCCACTGAGCAGCTCTCTGTACCCACGTCTGCCTCGACACCGGGCGCCGGGGCAGGGCCCGGGGGCCGCTGCTCAGTAACGAACTCAGAGAGAGGCTCACCCGGCTCGTCGGAACCGTCCTTGCAGTCACAGTAGTCATCGTTCACCTGATCGAAAGGGATCGTGGCCGAGCCGTCCAGGCAGGTGAAAGGCTTGGATTCATCATAAAAGTGATGGTCTGGGGACAAAGAAAAAGTGAGCGCGACTTCTCTGCCCAGCACCAGCGCAGGCTGCACGCTGGGGAGAAACCGAGGGCACGGGCAAGGAATGTCCGCCGCGGGCTCCCGCTCCTCTCCCTCGCTGCCCCGCAGCCCGGGGCCGCAGCACTCACTGGTGAGGGAGACGCCCCGGGGTCTCTTGACCTCCACGGCCCAGCAGAGGGGCGGCAGCAGCAGCACCAGGAGCAACATGACGCGCGGGGCTCGGGCCGGACAGCAGCTCTGTGGGAGGAAGCAGGCTGCGGGGAGATGCGGGGATGCCCACGCCGGGCCACGAGCAGGGAGCCGCGGGCAGGTGGGGCCGGCTCCAGGCAACTGGACCCGCCACCTTTTCGGGGCAAGTGATCGCTCTCTCCGTTTGCAATCTAGGATCGCGGAACAGAGGTCCTCCCGGTCCTGGGCGGCGCAGGAGAGCCTCGGTCCGCTCAAATCAAAGTCCTCGCTCCCCACGCCGGAGTGGACAACTCAGTTCCCGCCATAAGCTAAAGGGGCTCACTGTCGCCTCTAACCCTCACACAAACCCCTCCGCTGCCCCCCTCTATGAAACGAACGTGCCTTCCCACCCGCTAGTTCATCATCACCTACATGAGGCCGAGCCAAAGCTCAATATCCACCGCGCCCGCTTTTGCCTAGTGGCCACAGTTCCTGCTGCAGAAAGAAAGCGGAAGCGTCTGGGGTGCGTCGCTTCCTTTCGCACGCCGCGCACCGGGAACGGCGATTCCTGGTCGCCATGTTGAGAGTGGCAAATGTGCGGATGCCGGAACTGAGACGGCCATCTTGGGTAGGACTGTGAAACCTTAGAGAGGATAGATCTGAAGACTCGCGCTTAATGGCGGCGCAACTAGCCTCCATCTTGGGAGTGGCGGCTTCAGCAGCCGGAAAAGAATGTTCTTGAAAAATGCCCGCGAACCTCACCCCCGGGAGGTGGGGCGAGAAAAGAAAAAGGACGAGCACGTGACCCCGAAGCATGCTCCTCACCATCTGCTGCAAGGCTCTGCCCCACCACCTGCTGGGACCGCCCCTTTGCATTGCTCTAGCCAATGAGAGTGGCACGCGGGCGGTCTCCATGGGAACACTGGAGGGAGGGGGAAGCGGTTACTTAGCAACCGGGAGATGCTAAGCGGCCCCGCCAAGCGGTCGGAAAGTGCATTCCCAGAGACTGAGGAACCCGAACTGTCGGGTCTCAGAAGAGGGGCGGCCAATTTTTCGCTGCTCCCGTAAACCCTAGGGGCCTTTGGCTCCTAACCGAATCATGACGTCTCCCCTGTGCAGGGCGGCCTCTGCCAACGCCGTGCCTTCTCAAGATCAGGCTTCGACATCCTCTCCCAAAGCCAAGAGCAGTAGGGCTCAGGCCAAGCAGAGCCACCTCCTAGGCAAGGGCTGGGCGCGGGCACAGGCCTGGCCCCCACTCCATTCCAAGATGGGACTGCGAGGCCACAGTCTGGTGAAGACTTCTGTGCACACACAGGTGGTCGAGTTACAAAGGAAGATCCAACTGTTGGGTAAGATGGCTGCAGAGGGCACGGCAGGGTCAGGGGTCAACAGTGTCCACCAGGGCTTGTGAGCAGGCATGGGGCCACCAAAGCAGTTCACTTGCATGAGTCTTGATGACCAGTTTGTGAAGAAAAAAGCTCATACTTTTTCGTGGTTTCTTTCATCTCTCCTCAAACTTCTGAGCTCAGAACTGACAAGTGTATTTCCTATTTCCCATAATTACAGCTCTTCTATCACGCATGTGGTGGTGAAAAGAAAAGTTCTACAGCTGGGTTTTCTGAGTTAAAAACTTGCTCTGTATGATAGTTTGACCGGGGGGGAACTAAGACTAAACTAATTGCCGTCAGTTTTTCCATCTATAAAACAGGGATAATGAACTCAGAGAGAGGCTGAGGCAGGAAGGTTGCAAGTTTGAGCCTGCCCTGCTCAATTTAGTGAGACACTGTCACCCAAAAAAAAAAAAAAAAATCAATTACAAAATAAAAAATAAAAAGGACTGGAGATCTGAGTATGGTGACACAAGTCTGTAATCCCAGTACTCAGGAAGCTGAGACAGGAGGATTGAGGCCAGCCTGGACTACATGGCAAGACCTTTTCTCAAAAAAACAAAACAGAAAAATCAAAATTTTTAAAAAGTAAAACTAAAAAGGGCTGGGAATGTAGCACAGTGCAAAGGCTTTTTTTTTTTTTTTTTTTTTTTTTTTTTCTTTTTTAGAGAGGGTTTCACTCTGCAGTTTAGGTTGGCCTTGAACTCACTTTGTACCCAAGACTG